AATAGGGCCTGCATGTTGTGTAAAGTCTTGCCTTAATCTTTGCATTCTTGCCTGTCAGTGAAAAAAAAGCTAGTTGCATATTTATTTGCCTGTGTATGCAACCACACTTAAGTTGTGGCCCTCAGCATGTGCTAAGAGTATCATTGAGTAGCCCTGGCCTACAGGCTGATAGCCATTAAAAAACAAGCTCCTTGTGCATTAGTAACCTCTTATGACTCCAAGTCTTCATTTCACCTTCTCTTATAAACTTGATGGAAATACCTGGGCTCTTCCTCTGTAGGGACACAGCATCTTGTGCCCAACTGACATCTTGCATCCACAGCAACAATATGTGCTAGAGCTAAGCCCAAGTGCCATCTCCCCCTTAATGTCTATTTGAAACAGAATTCCTTGGATGAAGAATTCTCTATACATGATCTTATTATGGATGTTAAAAATAAATTTAAAAAAGGTAACCATGTAAGTGTTAAAAAAACCCCTAATGGTTAACTATTTTACCCGGAGATGTACAGCCAGTAGGACTAGAGAGGGAAGGATGGTGGAGGGAGATCCCCATGGCTCTTAGATAGCCAGCTGCCCTGTGCTGCAGGCTGTGCAGTACAAGCTGGCTGCCTGCCCTGCCCCTAGGGAGTAGAGCCAGGAGCTGACTTGTACTGCAGAGTCCACAGCGCAGGGCAGCTGACTCCCAGGGAGGGCAGAGTTAACCAGGAACAGAAATTGATAGCCAATAAGATGATGCTTAACTGGTTAAAGTCTTACATCCCTCTATGATCTCAGCCCAAACAGTTGAGTGTGAAGGAAGTCTGAGTGATACTGTTTCAGTTGCTTAAGGTATGTGAACAAGAAAAACCAGACACCAACATGCCTCCCTATCACATACAAACACGTTTGGCCGAGAACTCAACTGCCTGACTACAAAGAGAAGTGAAGCTAGAAACTTTTGACGTGTATTATGTTCTAATTAGGAGAGAGGGCCAGGTTCTGCAAGCAAAGGTAGAGGAACTGGTGCAGTTTTACTGAATGAGGGGTCCCCAGCTATGAATAGATCAGCCAGAGCAGAGTCTGCTGTACTGCATGTTGAAATGGTGTTCTACAGCATCTCTTCATGGCACTAATTTGGGAACAGGGACGGATATGGCCAGGGATCTGTCACTACCTGGACCACTTGATTAACACCTCACCAAGAGATGGGAAGCCTAGGGATTACTCATGCTACTACAGTTCAGAGCATCAGCAAATGTGAAAGGGCAGAAGATATATCTGAAGGAGAGACAACTGTAACCACTTTCTAAGCAAGCTGCATGTGTCAGCTTAATAACACTGCTGATGGCTAAATCTCAACACAGACCCACTATCTGCATGTATTTACTGGCACCACACATGCCAGTCCTGCTTATTTTCACTCAGGTCTGTTCCAAAGTCTGATTCCTTTCCATTGATACCCATTTGACTTGGCTTGGCTCGGCTCTCAGCTCACAACTCTAAGCACACCTAGCCTGAATATACACCAAGCCAGGATTTCCCTTGACTGCCCAGAGACAAGAACTCTCACTCACATAGCCATGCTATCTAGGTGCAACCGACTTCTTCAGTCTTAGTCAGTTGTGTTAAGATAATGGAGACACTCACACAGTTCAAATTGGTTTCTCCTTTTTAATGGGCAGCTCTGACAATGCAGAGGAATTAGCTATGAACTCAGACTCACTTGCCAACGATGGTAACCCTTAGCAGCAGCATTCTTTGGGGTGCATAAATGGTCTTTTTTGCCCATCTGAATCCACCCTTCATGGAGATATGTTTTTCTTACCTTTAAAAACACATGAACACTCAAACCGTGTCACGGACAGGAGGACGATTGTACCTCCATCCTAGCAGAGACAGAGTTATGCACAATGGAAGCTCCTGGTAAGCAGTTATCAGCCTCACCCATTTTCTTAGCCTTCCTTCTGCATCCTAGGGAAACCCCCACAAAGCAGAGCAGCACAGCTTATTACGCTGCTTCTCATCACCACCCCTTGTGCACTGCATCCTGAAGCACTGTCCAACCCGAGACACTGGCATTGTTTGAGAGACAGCTGTGCATTTCTTATTTTTAGAGCATTTGGGTGCACAGTACAGTGCAGGACACAGAAGAGACAGGTTGCCTGACCGAAGGAGATCGCAGTCTAGGATGACCTTGCAAGCCTGACTAGACAAGACATGATAGGTGATCCCATGACAGCTTAGTTATGTTTTGGTCAATATGCTATTGTAAGACCTGACTTAGCAATGCTGAAAGGCTTAATGGAAGCAGCATGTCTTCAGGGGACCTGGATAAGGAGCAGGTGCCCAAGGTGTAGATCTAAGAAAAAGCACAACTGAACCAGTGGGAAGATTCAGATAGAGCAGGGAAAGGAGGCTTAAGAGCTGGGAGGAGTGAGGCAAGCAGTAGAAATACTCTACTGAGCCTTAAAAGGCAGGCAGGAAGCCTTGACCTTGCTGTGGAAGGCATGAGACCCAAATACATGAAACAAAGACTTGCTACAGTCTTCAGGGATGACTGTAACAAAGGGAATTCTACAACTGTTACATCAGAGAGCATGTTGTATCAAGACTGACAGTGTTACAAGAGGAAACCCAGCATGGAATTTTACAGTTTGCTAAGGGAGATGCACATTTCCTGTTGGATCTCTGAGAAACCTCACTACAACTAAGGTAAAGGTAGAGTCACATAGTGTCTGATCAATGCTACCATCCACAGCACAGCTTGCTCTTTGGTGCACACTGCTGTTGTGGCATTACCAGGCAGGAAAGCTTCTTGTCCTAGGTGTCTAGCACCCTACAGAAGTCCCAAGAAAACATTTTCCTCTATGAGCCAGCTCTTTTCAATGAAACGGAGGAAGGAGTTTTAAGTACGAACTATTTGGTTGTTAGCTGCTTTCTCTCATTAAAGACCGCCAGTCTTCTAGAGGACTGAAGGGTAGAAGTGCCCCTGGATTTTAAAAAAAGCTCTATGGGCGATTCTTTGCTCAGTGTACAGCTGCAGCTAAAAAAAAAAAGTAGCAAGCAAAATGGATTATGAATATTACTACAATGTTCCATTGATTTGTCTGTAGAAAGGCGGTCTCATCTGGAATTATGATCACCTCTTTCTAAAAGAAGATATGGCAGAACTAGAGGGGAGGATAATAAGGAAGAAGAGCTTGGAAAAACTTAGATTGAGTTCGCATTCGTTAGGAAGGGGATGAACAGATTAATCAATGGCACAGATGCTAGATCAGGAACTGGAATCCTCTCACCTCCTACAAGAGCAAGGAAATATTTTTCTGCATAGCATGATTAAACAGCGGAACTAGGTGTCAAAGAATGTCATTGAGGACAAGAATTTAACAAGATTCAAAGAGGAACTGGAGATTTTCTATGGACATCCACCATAGCCAGAGAGATAAAATTAAAGATAGACTTTTGTGGATGGAACATTAAGCTTCATGTTGCAGGGAATAAGCCAATCACTACCTAGAGGAAGTCAGGATGAGCCTTACGGGAGGGGGGGGGGGAGAAAAAGAGAAGAGGAGGAGCAGCGGGTGTCAGATTATCCCATACTAGCTGGGTTTACTCCAGTTTCCTGAGCAACGCTGGGTAACAAAATTCAGGAAAGGAGGGGATCCTGAGCCAGGGGACCCCCAGAGCCACAGACCCTGGGGGCTGATGGCTCCTGGCCCACTCTTGACCCTCTGAGAGCAGCAGGACCCTCCTCCCCCCAGGACTGAGCAGTCAGTCCCCAGGAGAACAGTACACAGTCATGTGGCCAGTAGCAAGAGGACTTCTCTTTGCAAGGCTGGCTCAGGGATCCACCTGCCCTGCTTTGGCAAGCAAAAGCTCAGAGCTCACATCCCCACTCACAGTATGAACAGAAGCCAGCTGTCTTCATAGCAGTGTAACTTCGAGGGTTTAACCCAGCCCCTCCGCCCTGTGCTGCAGCAAACACACGGATTCCTTCTGCTCGGATAAGGCCAGCGAGCGGAGCAGAAAGGCTGGCTGGCTTTGGTTTCCGGAAGGGGGAGGTGGCAGATGGGGAGCAACCCCAGGTGGAGGGGAGGTTACACACAGGAGGGGTGCTCCAGCTCATGCCCAGGGCTGCAGGTGCCACGGGTGCCCAAGCCATTGTGTGCATGGGGGTGGGGAAGAAGAGGGTCGGTTATGTAACCTTGCAGGCAGGAGCAGGTGAGTCCCAGGAGGCCACACGTAGGAGGGGCACCCCAGCTTGAGCCCAGGGCTGGGTTAAACCTCGATGCGGGTCCAAAAGTACCTTAAAACCTTCTCCCAGAGGAAAGGTTATCCCATGCAAAGTTTGGTTGCTGTAGCTCTTATAGCGCCAAGTTTTAGTGCACAAACTTACAAACAGTCTCCTTAACATATTAGATGGGGCGGTAATTGGACAGATGTGGTGGAAGAAAATCAGATTCTCTGTCTATGGGGGGCACATGCTGGAAGTTAGGGAGGTGGCGGGGGAGGAGTGGGGTGACAGCGTGCAAAAGAGCCAACCCTACTCCCCCTTCCCCGTTCTGTCTGGCCCAGCTCTGGTTTTAACCGTCAGTGCCCTTTTCCACACTAGCGTCCCTGCTCTTCCCGGGTCCACCTGCCTGCCGGTTTACATACCGACTGAGGTGCACCTGCACTGTGCAGAGGCGGCACGCAGAGGACAGCCCTCACAAGCACCACAGGCCCAGAACTGCAGTGGCCACTGGTACCTTAAAACCTTCTCCTGGAGGAAAGGTTACTCCATGGAAAGTTTGGTTGTGGTAGCTCTTATAGTGTCCAAGTTAGAGCACAAACATTCTCCTTTATATATTAGATCTACCTATTGCAGGATTCGTATTTTACTCTGACGTTCCATGCAATGGCCACCAACAGACAAGATGGACCTTAGCTCTGATCCACTGTAATCATGGCTATATTCTTACAGAACCTCTTGAAGGGCAGCATGTTAAGAGCATCTGATAGAAATAATTTAACTTTACCTTATTTGCACGTCCAAGGTCACTTGTCTTCTATCAATTTCCTTGGTATAAGCCTTTACTCCATTGATTTTAGGGCACTGAAATAAAAAAAAAGACATATACAAGACAAGGCAGTTAACATCTTTTAAATCAGAATTCTTTAGTTGGCCCTATCTTCTTTCATTAACAAAGTTCTGTTGACAGTCTAAATTAGTGAGTGAACTAGAAACATTGGCTCAATTAAAAAAAAAACAGTTTAAAGGAAGATGCAGCACAAACCTGTACAAGTGAAATATGCACTCCACAAATTTAATTTTTGCACATTTTTTACCCTTGATTTTCTACAAAAATCTAGGCTGAGTTGCACAGCTAGATCTAGAAGCATGGAAGCCTCAACAGTACAAGACTGCCAGTCTCTGTACTAGTCTGCAAAATTAATATGCGAGTGCAAGTCCTGCTGGGTAATCCTGACAGTCTCAAACAAGCCTGGTTTCAGATGAGCCAAGCAACAGTTCAAGGCTTGTAAGGAAACCTCCTTCATTACAAGTTTAAAGGATGGTGATAAGAGAGCCACCTTTATTGCCTAGCATCAGTCAAGTGGTCTGCCAGGACAGGATTCAAGTCCCTGAGAAGGTTGAGTGTCCTCCCCCAAAACCAGACAATCTTTCTTTTTGGTTACATAGGGGCGTATTTAAAATCCAAAGCAAACCAAGGATAGGAGGAGCAATTGAACAGAAGGTCTGTGTCTGCTGAATTAGGACCAATCCTGTTTGATTTCTAGTATTCTGGAAAGGAAGGAACTGTAGACTGGAATCCCAACCTAGCCCCTTTCTCCAGTTGGGGAGCAAAGCAGAACAGGATCAGTCTGTAACCCAGCACTGTGACTTGACCCACCTTTTCTCCAAAGTCGAGTTTGGTAAAGGTGCACGTCCTCAGGTGCACGTTCTTCGCTCTGATCTTTGGTTCTACTTTTTCTTTAAATGCTTTTTCCATGACTGCCCCAAAGTATGGCCAGGCTTGCACAACGACCTACAGAAAGCACAAAAAGCCACAATAAAGATTATTTGCACAAAATGCACCTAGCTGAAGAAAAAAAAAGAAAAAAAAAAAACACAAACCTACAATCCTTAACTCTATTCTGTTCAGCACATGGCTATTAGTCACTCTACTTTGTAACAAAACTTGTTTTTATTCACACCTTTGAGAGGATTTATTCCAGTTTCCTAGAAGATGGTTGAAAGATTTAACACATAGGCTTCGTCTACACTGGCCCCTTTTCCGGAAGGGGCATGTAAATTTCACCAGTCGTCGTAGGGAAATCCGCGGGGATTTAACTATCCCCCGCGGCATTTAAATAAAAATGTCCGCCGCTTTTTTCCGGCTTTTAAAAAAGCCGGAAAAGAGCGTCTAGACTGGCCCCGATCCTCCGGAAAAAGTGCCCTTTTCCGGAGGGTCTTAGGAGGATCGGGGCCAGTGTAGACGCTCTTTTCCGGCTTTTTTAAAAGCCGGAAAAAAGCGGCGGACATTTTTATTTAAATGCCGCGGGGGATATTTAAATCCCCCGCGGATTTCCCTACGATGACTGGTGAAATTTACATGCCCCTTCCGGAAAAGGGGCCAGTGTAGACGAGCCCATACTGTTTGTGACAAATATCATGGACACACAAGAGCTTTGAGACTATTCTAGCCACTTTGTGAGCTACAGATTCTACTCCTGCTCCATGGAGAGTTACAGGAGTTCTCAGTGACTTTTAGTTCCTGCAGGGAACTGATTAATACAAATCCCTAGGCAGGTAACCAGTCTGGAGAAGCCTCACCAGAGTCAGGGGGGAGGGGCACACCACAGAAACTGTTTTTAGCTGATTTGTTAGCCAGACTTCTCCAAAAACCGAAAAAAAACCTGTCCAGGGACCACCCAGATTTTGGAGGGGAGAGGGTATAAGATATGGGACTAACCACATCCAAGCACTAATAGGACATGACGACTAAGGGGGTGAGACCCAGCAGCACTGTATCCCAATCAGAGTCGCCATGTTGAAGGTGGGTGATCCTCTGGTCAATTAAGACCCGCATAGAAGCTGTTCACTATAGAAACAGCAAGATAAAAGCATGAGAGAGAAAGAAGATTTTCTGAATATACAGGACTTTGCTTTATGCAGGGTGGCTGGTCATTGATTTACCTACCCCCAAAAGAGACCAGAGCTGCAGATGCCCAACTAAACTCCAGCCTGCTGGGACCACGGTGCATTGCAGGAGGAATAACCACCTAAGTTCCTGGTCTAGAAGAAGAGAATTGTGGGACACTGCCATAAGAGGACAGCCCCACTTAGGTCTCAGGCCTCTAGCTATTTCCAGGAGGACACAAAGGGGTCAAAGGTGCAAGTTCAGAGCGTTGCAGTTCCCGAGGTATGTGTGTCCTGCCTAGAACTGGTTGTGTTCCTGATCCAGGGGCTTTGTTTCACACCTTTGGACTAAAGCTTCCCCATCTGATTAGGGATCAGTGGTGTCCAACGTAAGACATCTTACAAGGTGCTTTAGCTTCAGAAGTTTCTGAACATGGATCTTCTGGAGATCTGGCCCTTTCAAAGTGCCTCATATTGGGCCTTAAAAAAAAAAAAAAAAAAAACACCCCCACACACACACTTCTGAAAATTCCGGCCTTGTTCTACTTCTAAATATTAACTAAACAAGCAAAATATGGCTTCTCCTCACAAGAGCTAGCAATTCAGAGGATGAGACAACAGTAAAGGGCGGGGGAAGCACTGGATGTATGGTAGGGCAATATTACACCAAAAAGATCACGTAATGAATTACTGGTATACAAGCATGTTTGTTTCCAGTATTTAGGTTTTAAGCAGCATCTAGAGTGCAGTGCTTAGTGAAGGAAGATGGGACATCTGAGGATTAAGGAGGGTTTTCTGGTGTTCGATGAATCTGGAGTCACGTTTTCCAGGAGAGAAGGCACAGTCCTTACTAACCAGACAAGCACATGGCTCAGACTGAATCTGCACAGACTCCGTTTGCTCAAAGGTTTAAGCACAGGCATTAAATGTAAGCAGTCTCTAAAGCAGCAAGTTGTTATTCTCATTATATTTGTATGTTAAGGTCTTGCTAGAGAGGTAGCTCCAGAACAAACACAGTTCAATAGAAAGTTTCAAAAAGACAGTGCCATGAAAACCTTCTCACCTTGTTAAGCCATTCCACCCGTTCAACATCAGGGAAGTGGACCTAGTGGCAAAGAAAAATAAAGTGATTTCATCAGGCCAAGAGCTCATTACACATAACTATACAGCTTTATGTAAAAGTAGCCAGGATGTGGAAACTGAGCTCAGGTTGGGAGGCATTCAGTCCTTTGACACATGCTGTATTGCACATAACCTCATGTCCCACTTGTCTTATTATATTGCTACTTCTGAGAGGACACACATTCAGAAAACAAACAATTGGAAGATTGGTTTGAAATCAAAAAGATTAAGTTCAATAGAGACGAGGGATGTTTGAGTAGAATCGATTCACCATTTAACAGATGCTCAGCCAGCTCCCGGGGAGCATCAGTGTGTGTCAGTGAAGCCTCCTCCCCAGGAACTAGGCAGGAGGGCCCTCTTCCTGGGGGGCTTTGTGGCAGGTTCTGCAGTATAATGATAAACTTTATACTGCAGAGCCCACAGCGCTTGTAACTGTGTGACCGTTACGGTTTTCTTTAAAGTGGTTACACGGTTTCCCTATTACACGATTTTTAACATCCCTAATGATGAGTGCAAAGTACTTCACTAAAAAAAAAAAAAAAAAAAAAAGAATCAAATCCCTATTCTGAATTTGTGCGATAACTGGCTATGTGGCAGTACTGTTGAAAAGAATCAGTGTTATAATGGAAACCACAAGCTACATAATTGCTTAAATAAATGTATCTAGTTATAGTTTAATCTCCTAAGGTACATCTACACTTGCTCACTAGTTCGAGCTAGAGATGCAAATGTAGGTGACCAAGATTGCTAATGAAGCAGGGATTTAAATATCCTGCGCTTCATTAGCATGATCTCGCCAGTGTGTAACTCCGCTCAACTCGTTATTCGCCGGTGCATTCCTCAAAAAATTAGAAGTAATGTTAGTTCGACTCAAACCCCTTGGTTCGAACTAACGTGCCCTGGAGCGCACTTTCTGGTTCGAATCAGCTGTTGAGCTGAGTAACGTGCTGGCGAGATCATGCTAACGAAGTGCAGGCTATTTAAATCCCTGCTTCAGTACCAATTTCAGTCACCTATTTTTGCATCCCTAGCTCAAACTAGGGAGCAAGTGTAGACATACCCCTAGGTAGCAGCAGAGAGAGACAGACAAGCAATGGGCTTGAATTGCAGCAAGGGCGATTTAGGTTGAACATTAAGAAAAACACTAACTGTCAAGGTGGTTAAGCACAGGAATAAGTTGCCTAGGGAGGTGGTGGAAACCCCCTCATTGGAGAGGTTTAAGAACAAGTTAGACAGACACCCGTCAGGGATGACTAGATCTGGGTGGGCAAATACTGGCCCACAGGTGAAGCTGCAGATCACCATTCCTAGCCAATGGGAGCTGCGGAAAGTAACACGGCTCGGGAGACGGCTTTCTGTAGTTCCCACTGGCCACACAGCTGCAATCCCTGCACTTGTGGCCGTGTAGGTAAATGTAGTGATGGCAGCCCACCAGGGGCTAACCCTGGTCAACTGCCACTGTATTTTTGCCCACCCTACGCTAGATAATGCATGGTCTTGCCATGACTGCAGGGACTGGACTTTACCTCTCTAGGACCCTTCCAGTTCTAGTATTCTATAAAAGCCCTATTTAGTTGTAAGTCAATATATTTTAATGGTTATGTCAAGAAGTGAAGATGCTGCCTTTGAGAAGTTAACTGAAGTACAAATGAAAAAGCTGATTAAAATATAGGATTTCCAATCAAGGCTTTTCCTAACATGACTGACTTAAGTCATCCCACCCATAAAAAACTGGGTATGGTTAGTCTTGAGACTGGAGACTGAGGGCAAATCTTACAACTGTCTTCAAACATTGTAGGGGCTGTTAAAAGGGATAGTGGTAGACACGGATAACTGAAGGTATGATAAGAAGCAATAAGCTTAGGTTACATATTAGGAAAAGCCATCCAATTATCCTCCTGATAATTAAGGTGTGGAATCATCTTCCAAGGGAGGTTGTGGAATCCCCTAACTTAAGGTTTTAAACAAAACAGAGTCAACAAAACTACCAAGGATGGTCTAGATTTACTTGTTTCTGCCTCAGTGTAGGGGAGTGGACTGACTTCAAGGTTCTTTCCAAACCTACATTTCTACGATTTTTTTTATACATGCTGCATAGCTTCTGGGCCCATTTACATGATTCCTGTAAGACCGACATACTACTGACAATAAAGCAGCATTAGCAAAAAGAGTTCACATTCATGCATTGGGAAACTAGGGATTTTAGATAGTGTCACTGAACAGTCGTGTAACCGCATCAAATGTTAGCAGTTAAACAGTAGTCCCCAGGGTGGGGCCGAAAGCCTGTGCACTCCTGGCCCCACTCCTGGGGAGCTCCTTGCCACCGCCTCTATCAAACCAGCTCCCTGTGCAGACCAACTCCTGCCTGCTGCACCACACTGCTGCCTCTGGGGGGGCCTGAGCTTCCTGCAGACAGGAGCTGCACTGGCATCCCAAGGAGCAGCCTCTGTCCATGGTGTGCTCAGGTTACTCTGCAGCAGCCTTCCCTCCCTTCCCCAAAGGAAGCAGCGAGGGTGTGTGCATGAAAGCAAGTGGAGTCAGTGCTCTGGGGGAGCCAGCTTAAAAAGTCCCCCACAAGCACGGACTCCTGCCTGCCCCCCGTCTGTCTCTGTGGGAGACAGCAAGGCGGGGGTAGGAGACTCCATGGAACTGGCACACACAGAAAGCCCGCTTAAAAGCTGGCTCCCCATAACTATTGGCTCCCATCTGCCCTCCCTCACCCTTTGTGCTGCTGCCTCTCTATCAGAGGCAGCAGTGTAGGAATGTGGGGAGCGAGGGTGAAGGCAGCTCCATGGGATCTGGTGCTCTTGGGGAGCTGGATTAGAAGCTGGCTCCTCATGGTACTAGCTCCCACCTTCCTCCCCTCTCACCCACCTTCCTCCCCCACCTTGCAACCTAGGATACAGAGGCAGCAAGGGTGTGTGTGCGCGTGCGCATGCACACAGTCGATGGGATTAACCAATAAGACCAGGGTTATCAGTTAATAGTGTAATCGATATGTAGATGACATCTCTATGGACACCTGAGGGACTAAACCAGTTCTGATCACAAAATGGCCACAGTCTATTAAGGGGGCTGGGAAGGAGGGGGGGGGGGAAGAGAGAAATCAGTTTCAGACATTTACTTTGTGGTTCGTGACTAGATCAGCCCATTGCCCCAAATGAAGTAATCCAATGACAGACGTAGTAGAAACAAGAAACTCTATCTGAACAATTGTGTGATGCACATTTTTATACTCACAGTGCTTCAGAGCTTTAAAGATGCCACCTGAGTAACTCAGACAGTTAAAAAAAACACAATGGAGAAGTCTATTGAGCAGCCTGGATTTATGCAAAAAACTCCACTGGGGCATTTTCTCTCAACCTTCTGAAGAAGTCAGCATTTGTGACAATCAAGAAATGCATACCAGGCTCAGTGTGACACACCAACTTGACTATTGAACAGACATTTAACATGAAGGCAGATTACAGGGAGAAGATGATCTCCTCCTTTGCTGTCAGCATGCCTGGAAAGGTCCTTGGAGAGCACGGTGGAGTCAGCCAGTGGTCAGCTCCAAGGTTATAGTGAGGTACACAATTGCTCATATTTAAAGCTCCAGTTGAATGGATGAAGAAGTTTGTATTTGTGAGGCAAGCAGCATCTCCAGAGGACACTTGGGATGTGTCAATGGGGTGGCACTGGGAAGCTTGGATTGCTATTGCCCTGTGTTCTGAAGATGGAGAGAACCTCAGATCACCACTGCTGCCAGCTGACGGGAGCACATATATCTGAACATTCATGCCTTCCCCATCCCCCACATTTGCACTGACAACACTGGCATTGTTTCAGATATGGAAACAGGGGTTGTCTGGGTGGCATGGGCCATATAGCCGTAAGTCATAAGAGACTAAGGGCATTAAAGAGGAAGAATTCCCCAGTAGTTAAAGCAATCTGTTCAAATACTACATGATTAGGGTATGTCTACACTACAGAGTTTTGTTGGAAAAACCATCTGTTTTTCCAACAAAACCTGAGTTACATCCACACTATAATTGTGTTCTTCCAAAAGTAAATTGAAAGAACAGAAGGGGTTTTCTGGTGTTGGTAATCCTCTTTCTTTGGAAAAAGGCTTCTTCCCCATAGAGCTCCTTTGGAAAAAGGCGTGGGGTGTGTGTGGGGAGAGGGGGGAGTGGTGTACGTGCACACAGGTGCCCTGGTGGCCACTTGATCCATAGAAATCACAGCTTAAATGCAAGATAGTATCCATTCAGTGTGGACCTCTCTCTTTTGGAAAAAGTTTTTTTTTCGGAAGATCTCTTCCAAAAGAAGCCTGCAGTGTAGACATAGCTTTGGTGAATTATCTGCCATTTAACATCCTCAGTTTATATCAATTTCACTCATCCAAAAAATAAAATCTTACCTATCCTGTACTACCATTAACCTTCAACCCACATATACATAATTCTCTCCCTTTATAAAAGAAATGTTTAATAAAGTTACATAAGGTTACGATATACAAAAAAAACCCAACTACAAACAGGCTTTTATATTTGTTACCAATTTCTAATTTATTCAACTTGAAATGCCATAAGCCTAAATGCACTCTTAACTGTGTGTGTTTTTTGGTGGCTCATTGTCTGCAAAGTCTCTGGATAATGAAAATGTTTAGTCAGTTTCTCTTGGCCAGATACTGTTATGTTTGCTTACATGTGCAACACCGGGATGTTTTGTCCTTTAGAAGATAAATTGTTTCCATTTCTATTGACAGAATAATAAATAGAGGCATTTCCACTAATAGAAACGTGTAGCAAACTGTAATAAAAGGCTACATGTTGGGGTTGTAAATTCAGCTGACAGTGGCCCATATCCTGGAAGACTCTGGTGGCTTTCACCTCTCATTGCCTTCAGTGAGAGAGGAAAGTGCTTAGTACTTCACAGAACCAGGTCTGGTGCTTTTTAAACAAAGCGAATACTTCCTCCCTACAAGGATTCTCTGCCTCTTCT